ATTTTGAAATAAAGGAAGCACAAACTGACTGATGTAGTTGAAACCTAACGGTTTGCTGTTATTAAAAGTTTGGATTAAACTATGTAGATGAGTTCCAAAATCCCTCCTGCCCAGAAGTTTTGTAGATCATATAGAGGTCAACGTCAATTTTAATATCTAAGAAATCACGAAGCCATGTGAATTGGTGTACAAAGGATTCAACGATCGTGTGTTTTGAATGAAGCGAAGAACCTTACGGAAAATATGTTCTTTGGTTAGTTTTAATAAAAGGCAAAGCTTTGTTCGGAGTATTTCATGGGTAAGTAACATCAAGCTGAAAAGGACATCGATATTAAACAATTTTTTAAATTAACCGAAAGAGAGTACTCAAAACTATAGGTATTATTTCCTTTGAGATACGAAACTGGGTTGTCCATTCTCTTGGGTTGTCCAGTCCACAGGAATATACCGGTCATAGTTTCAGGCGGTTAACATGCTTGCAGATAAAGGAGATGTTTTAAAATTGAAGAAGTAAGGTGGCTGGAAGTCATCGATGGTGGCAGAAAGATCAAATTAAACCAAAAATACAATGTAAAATCAAGTTCTGTGCACAGAACTAGAAGTAATTTATTTATTTATTTATTTAGGAAAACGGAACATATATAGGCTGGCTAAGAGCCCAAAATAATGTTCAATGTTCACTAATCTCAAACAGTGCCTTCGTTGCTACTGATATAAAGTCTACAACATCGAGAAGAAGTTAAATGCAAAGTAGTAGTAGCGGAAACATTGTTAAAAATGAAAAATTAATAAAAACTTATGTGATCAAGGCGGTGTACTCTTCTATTACACAGGCTCTTGTAAAAATTAGTTTTACATTGGAAATTATATCTAAAAAATGTCATGCCATGTTTATTAATTCCCCGCTTAATTACTAATAGTTGATCATTTAGGCATTACGCATCAATAAAAATTGTTGTCAGTATAAACGTATTCCATATTACATTACAGTTAACATCGTAAAAATTCGACGTACGCGTACTGAATTGCGAATCGGATCGCTATTCAATTTTGAACTAATTTCCCGTGCGGCAGCATTAAATTGCTTTTAAGCTGTTAGGAATCAGTGGTCCATTCTCATCTGAACATTATTTTGTGCACAAGCTAATCTGAAATAAACCGTATAAAAATCGGTTTTGGAATTAAAATTCCGATGCCGTGTTTTTGGTTTAATAAGTCAGTAGAAATTTAATTTCAAAATAATGAGAGGATGAGTTTAAAAAAAATTAAAGCCGAAAACCAAAATTAAGATTCGTTCGGAGTTAAATTTTATTGTAAGTGTATTAAATTAAGATAATGTCAAATTTAACTAAAACCGGGGAAATCGTGCTTAAAATTTTTTTACTGCTTGGATTACATCGCCTTTTCTAGTTCACATCAACGTCAAAGCTTTGAATAGTGGCCTGATAACGCCAGCTTATTCAGTAGTCTGTTTTACATAATCGATTGTTTGGTAAAATGTTTCAAACAAAAAAGTTTGTTCTCCAAAGTCGTATACATAAATAATAATATTTTTGCTATAACATTGTTTAGTGTTTATTTCAGTTTTCTTGGTAAGTTAGAGAATATCGGGAAAAGTATTAAATATTTATTACATAACTTTAATGAAAGTGGGGTAAATATTTCGATATAATATAAAATGTAGGTAAGTATAGACCTTTCCGTACAGATTAGGCATAACGGATATACAACTAAAAGATTTTTGAAATTATAAATTAATATAGGCAATACAGCCTAAGTTACAATGTCTGATAGGTACGTAATAATAATAAACTAGCAATAACTTGTATTAAAATGTATACGTTCTATAGCTCAGTCGGATTTAAAATTGTAATTTAATGTTTTAGGTTTTCTGCAAATTAATGTAATGTAATAAAGTTAGTGATTTCAGTGTGCTTAAACACATCAAATACGTTTATTGACGTGGCTGTAAAAAATGTATTATTAATATTAAACCTATAATGGATTTGTTTGAATGTGTACAAAAAGTAGTGTAGGAACAAGCTTTTTAATATTAGTATAGATAATAGATACAGAAAATCTTGCGTATGATTATAAACGAGATTATTCTTGAAAGAGCAAGAAAAACAAATACTTATTCTGAATTTCTATGAGAAAATTATCAAATGACATTGACATACATCTCTTACAATGGAATTGTTAATAAAGTTTACAGAAAATGTCAGAGAATCAAATCAATTTGTTTTTGGTATAAATAACAATAAAATTCTATGATACCTTGGGACCAGTGCTATATGCGTCAGCTTTATATTTGATTTGAATAATAGTTTACAGACTAATATTAATGACGAAAATGACAACCATTTTTAATTAAATTGAGGCTAATCGTTTTGACCATTTACTCTCGGCCAACCTGTTTCAGTAAAATACTATAGCGGACTGAATAGGCCTCTTTAAGTGCGACACAGTGTTTTAAATTTTATTTACGGCTCCATTTAAGGCAGACATTCGATTAACTGGATTAATTAGTTAAAAAAATGGCAACGATTTCACTGATTAATTTCGTACCAACACTTTTCATTTAGCTTTGCATGTTGGACCATTCCGCCTTTTTGTTTCAAAGACAAAGGACTGATTTTTCCAATTAATTGGCTGCCCTTATTCGTCCTACATACCAATTTCGTTCTTTTCGTTTTGTACGACGATATTTTTTCTTTATCGTCTCGTATTTTATATTTATTTGAGTACGTTTAACATATCACTAAAAATACGATTTTGGTGATACCTAGGTACTCTATTTTTAATTTATGCTTTATTCCTTTCTGTTTTTTATTAAAATATGTTTTTATACATAAGTATGCAAGCAATATAAACTATCTATTCGTTACACAATTCCATTGAAATTAGATTTTCATTAAAATTTCAGTTTTTAGTATAATAGTAAATATGTATATTTTTAAATTAAACTCTAGATCGCTTCCGAACAATTTGTTTTTTTTACTCATGTTATTATCATTGTTATTAATTGAGAAATAAAGTAATTTTTTAATTTTAATTATTTGTGGGAATTAATTAATTTTTGTTTTGCTGTCTACATATATCACCGAAGACCACTGAATCTTGATGTAATAATACCAAAATTCCAGCATGCATGACACTGAAAAAATTCCTTTTCCTTCGGTTCACCCAGTATATTTTTTCTATAATTTGGGAACATTTTTTGTTACATATTGCCGAACCTTTGAATTAATAATGAAGTTCTATTCACATACTCTTTTAATCAGCTTTTCAATACTAGTTTAGCAATGAGATCAGTTAAAGCTATTTCTTTTAATATTTCCGTTCTCTATTAATAATGCAGGACTAGTTGCTACAATTTTGCACACAAAAAGTCACGGGTTTTCTTGATTTTCAAGTTACTTGACTTGAAATCAAGCCAAGTATAAATCAGTTTAATAGTTGAATTTTGAAAGCCAAGATAACCTAATTTTTTAAATTTTGTATCATACTAAATTTAAGTCAGATTTATTAATAATGTTTGTATTTGAAAAATTAAATTCTGGAAAACTGTCATTCAACAGGATCGAAAGCTGTTTGTATTTAATAATTCAAAACTGTACTGGATTAAAATGAGCAAAAAAAATAAAAATAATTATTACGGATTGAAAATTGATGCATGGGTAAAAATGTTTAACATTTTTCTTTATAAAGTTTGACTTCAAATCCCCAAAGAGTTTTTAAAAACATCAAGTTACTTTACTTGATGAATATCTAACCCCTAGTACCGCGATCAAATACTAATTCCTTTCAATATTAAACAATTAAACATGATTTCTATTGAGGCAGATGGGAAAGAAACACTTTCTTTATTGTTTTAAATTACGTAAGAAACATCTTCATATGCTGATGATGTTCTTAAAAACATTTAAATTGTTAAATTTATGTAAAACTTTTCCCTGTTGTTGGACAAAATGTATTATTCTTGTTCCATTTGGATTTACAGATGCCATTTTTCAGCAGAAATTAAATGGTATATATTTCAAGCATTCTCCTTTTTCTATACTAAAAGCATTTTCAAATGCCATTTTTTTTATTTATGTCCATTTCTATTGAGAACACCGAAAAAGTGGTGACGCGATTACTAAACTTAAATTGTTTAAACAACGAAAATTTCTCTTTTATGTGACCTCCGTAATAATCCATCATAATGAAAACAATTGAACAACAATTTAAAAACAATTTAATTCGTTTTCTTTTTAATTTAATAAAATATATTTATATTTTTAACTGAGCCGGAATATAAGTAGCTATATTAAATGCCTCCAAGGAAATCAAACAAGAACTGTTAAATTAAATGTCACCATTATATTCAATTAGTAATTAAATGATGAACGCTATTAGCGAGGTACGTATTGTAAATAAAAAAAACAAAACTAAATTAATGTATTGTTTAGTGTCTAAAAATTTTATAAATGTAAATGATATAGGAAATTCATACTTTATATTATAATACCTTTGATATTTGACTAGATCTTTAATCTATTTGTAAATGCATGTTGTAGGTATATATACGTATTTTATCCTTATTTAGGTTAGTAGGTCATCAAAGGCAGCAGCAACTGAAATCTTATATTCATTTAAAGGAAGTAACTTCAGACGTAATGCTTTATATAAAATAAATTTATAGACAACTTTAAATATTTTGAACTAGAGTACTTATATATTTTAATTAATTTGTATTATTACATTTACGCGTTAAAAATAGGTAACGAATATCAAAACAACTGGGAAATTTTGTTACAAATAATTTTGCTTATTTAATATACAACTCTGTAACACTTGATTCATTATCACAGTTTATTTATTAAATTGTATATAATTTTGTACATTTGTTTTATCCAAACAAGATAATTTTAAATTACGTGCGCGCGCGGGCTATATCTAATCGAAGCCGACGACTTCACTACGCGCCTGCTCATTTGGTTGCATACGTCCCAGGCTGCTCAACTGAACGTTGTGCGCTGTAGTTTCGTCAAGGTACAACACTATCCATTAAAATTCTAAATACGTAAGCCGAATATAATAAAACGACTGGAAATACCCGGTTTACACTAAAAATAATACGTAAGTATAAATTTTATAGCTCTATTTACAGACATACATTTCTCAGCTATTTAAAACGTTGAAATTGAGAAAATGTGCACTATTCCATCCCAAGGATTGACAGCTACATAACCTAAAAATTACATTTATTTTTCAGGCAACGGAACAATTGCTTATAAAATGGGAGACGAACCTGTAATGGCAACTAATGATGATGCAAGCGAATGTAAGAGAGGAGCTGTTCATCTTGGCTACTGGAGCGATGACTACATTTCTTATTTTGTCAAACATGCTGATCGCAGAGCGCCTGAGATTAACAGGGGCTACTATGCTAGAGTTAAAGGAATCGAAAATTTTATTCAGAAATTCATAAATAAAGCTGGCAGCTCAGCACAGATTTTAAATTTTGGATCAGGCTTTGACACTTTGTATTGGAAATTGAAGGATGAAGGAATACAAATTTCAAATTATGTGGAGATAGATTTTCCATCGGTTACTGCAAGAAAGTGCTACATGATTAAACGCAACAAACAGTTGCTTGAGAGAATACATGACCAGGATGGCGAGGTTAAGTTAAGTTCCACAGATTTGCATTCTGGTAATTATCACTGCATAGGAGCAGACCTGAGGAATATTGCACAGTTAGAGGACAAGCTGCATCAAGCTGAAGTCAATTTTAATCGACCCACTTTGTTTATCGCAGAATGTGTTTTAGTGTACATCGAAAATGAATGTGTGAATAAGTTATTATCGTGGATTTCATCAAAATTCAAATCAGGACTTTTCGTAAATTATGAGATGTGCAACATAAACGATACATTCGGCGATGTTATGTTAGGCAATTTGAAAGCCAGGGGATGCAATTTGCCCGGCATTGCATATTGCAAGAATCTCGACACCCAAAAGTCAAGATTCACATCTAATGGCTGGCTCGGTGCTTCCGGATGGGATATGGTGCAGGTATATTATGCTATTTCTCCATCCGAGAGGCACAGGATCGAAAAGATTGAATTTCTAGATGAGCAAGAGCTTCTCATTCAGCTGTTTCAACACTACTGCATATGTATAGGTTGGTTAAGTACCGAATTTTCCGAGTTCTGTTGTACTGATATTTAATTTTCATTTGTTACTTCTATTTAATAAGAGCCTGTGATATTTTCTTGGAAATATAACTTATTTTAAAATAAAAATGTATGTTTGTAAAAGATAATTACAGACTATGTGGATTATGTGTGACTTTTTGCTTTTATGTAATACATTTTTGTATTACTTTACTGTATTTAATTAAATAAATGTGTTATATACATCAATTTCGTAAATGTTATTGTACAAATATAAAGATTAAAATTATGACAGGATTATAAAAGTTGTATAAACAAACATCTTATGAACTGTTTTTCACAGAATATAGTTTAAGTAAATTAGAGGAGGCATTTTTAAATAATTGCACCATATTATATGATTTTTAAAGAAGTTTATTAAGATTAAAAATATTTCCATTCCTCAAAAATTTAAATTTCGAGTGATTTTTTTTTTTAGGAATTTTACAATTATTACAATACATTATTTTTCTATTCTTGGTAGATATCTAATATCAAAATTTCCTGACATTCCACAAACTTAGTGATATTGATATTGATATGTCTCACATTTATGCATATTACACTGAAAAATAAAATAACAAAAATCACTTAAATTAATGGAAAAATGTTCATTCAATTTATAAAAAATATCCTTTTTCCTGACTGATTACAGAAGTTCATACTCATCCTCTTTTACTTATTAAACATGTAGGTAGGTACATCATTGCAATAAATATTTTTTCTCAAACAAAATGGTTACTTCATTTAAGAACATCAATTATAATAGGTGGGTATAAGCAGGCAATATGAAACAATAAAAGTTAAAGAGTGGTCAAATTATAAGTTACCACTCTAAGTGATCCGATAACAGCCTAAAATGCATAGGAAAGGCTGAAATAGTTTCTGTTACATTTTACCTTCTTAAAGAGGGTGGTCATATTTCTATGAATTATTACATGATAAAATGATGCATTATTTTATAACTTTCACAATTCTCTTTACAATTTTACAGTTATACTTAGGTTTTATTTCGTATTATCAAAAGAAAATTATGTGTCCGGATTTTTTTACTAAATCTGAAAATGTTAAAAATTACTTGGGCGGTAGAATCCTTTTTTATTTTTATCAGTATTCTGTTCTCATTGTTTGAAATGGAAGTATTTATGAAAAATTTGTGATAATGTGTGTATTAAAATTAACTCTACCATTGTTTAATTTACCAACTTAATAATAAAGAATTTATTAAAAATTAATTATTCGGTAATGGAGCATTTATCCAGAAGATAAAAAGAAACATGTAGCACAGATAATACAGGAAATAGATCTGTTTCTCGGCTATATTTTCAAAAAGTTTCGACGCTGATGGCGAGCTTTTTTATATATACATTGTTCTTAAGTGAATTTTGTAATATGTAAGTAGAATGAATTTTTTAAAACATAATTATTATGTCGCTGATGGAACATTTATACAGAGGGCAAGGAAAGATTCAAATCTGCAGAACACAATATAGAAAATAACAAGTAGAAGAAAATTCGTAGGTAATTTAAAAGAAATTAAATGGATGATGTATTTTATTGAATATTAACGACCTTATTGACTAACTTGTAGTTTTATTGCTAAAATTATTTAGGTAGGGCAGGGACTGCCAATATCTTCTGGTGTAGGTATATTAAATATAGTAAGTACCTATTTTATGGCAATTATTATAATATAAAAGTAATGTTTGATATTTCTTACTATAAGTAGTATAAGTGGAAAGAAAGCTTTAGTAAGCTTCATGATTTATAACAATAGAAATACATGTTCCTTTCTGCCTTCTTAAGGAAAGCAAAATGGTAAGTTAATAGGGGAAATATGAAAATACATTAGTTTTGCATATTTTTTTGCATTTTGCAATAAATAGCGTTTTTTATTGTTGGCAAATTTTGCAGAGACTTTCCATATGCCCTATATATTTTTATGCTGCCACCACTATATATCCATCATTTAAGCACAATTTTGAATATACACGGCGAAAGTACCTAGCTAACAACACCAATAATGTTCTGTATAGCACATACCACATTTCTTTATGAAATCTTGCGATATCCCTTCATAGTCTGACTTTCATTTTTTTAATGTGATGTATTCTTGAACTTATAACGGTACAGAGACGATTGTCCGAATTCATATTCAACAAAATCTAATAAGAACTTTTCTACACCGCTAATTGTTACCGTTGGCATAGAAATTATTTATTGACAAACTATTTACTTAGGTACGTATTTTGAATGCCACTTGATTTATATATTTACATCTTATTAATATTCCTTTTTGATCAGTGCATCTCCCTGCATATTATATTAATTTAATTCGAATTAACTCGCTCTATTGGCGTTGCTGTAAAGACTCCTGACCGAGAGAAGAGATTTATAATATCCGTTTTCCACATCAAAGGGTTTACCATTCATCGGAAAATTCATTAACCTAGCTAGGGGCTTATTTAACCTTAATTAATTGCGTGCTTTGCACTATTTTATTAATAAAATTTATATTCTCGGCTTATATATAATGAGAGACAGTTGTTAGCCGGAAATTCATCTGATAACCCTTGAATGGCGTAATAAAAAAATAATTAAACTTGAGAGTATTGTAATAGTAAGTCACATTAATAGTTATTTAAAAGATTTTTGATCTTTATTGTAGGAAAATTTAAAAAACGAATGTTTCTAAAAACCATGTGTACGGAATAGAGACTAAAGAGCATGAAAATTATTTGTAGATGAACAAAAAACGTTGTGTATTAATAGTACATTAACATTAATGATCGACGCCGACCTTTCAACACATCAACAGTGTAATTATTGTTGAAAAGAAAGCGCTATTATATGTCAAGTAGGTATCGTTCATAAAATTTTATATCACGGCACTGATGGGATGGGATTTAGGAGAATTTGATGAAAATTTATAAGAATCTAGTGAAGAATTAAAATAATCTGTTTTTTAATATAGCTATACTTTTCTGTCTCAAACATTTACGTTTTCATTACCTATTTAATGTTATTACAATATTTTTTATATTGAGTTTTACACTTGTTTGTTGTTGTTGAGTTGAAGAGGCAGGTGATCAGAATCTTACATGGAAGGAAGCAGCAATTCGAAATTTGCAATATCAAATTAAATGTTGTGCAAAGCTAATTCTCGTATGTTAACACACTAATATAGCAATAAAACTAATACTACAAAATCTTAGAGAAAAATGTTTTCACGATTTTCCCTTCCACAAAACTTTATCAATGTTTGCTTTACTTCTATGTTTAATATTTCCATCACACCATCCATAATACGTTAGCGTAACTATCCACGGCAAGAAACACTAACTCTTCATACAGCTCTAATGAAATGGCGAATGCGCAAGGAATAAGGGATAAATGAAATCGTAAATTTTAGAGATTATTGTTCTTTATTGCTAGTGCGTTGTTTATAGATATTTCAACCCAGGGAGGAAATAGATATCCCTTTTAGATATGTCGAACGTACATCAAAATTTAGAATTTTCAAAGAAACATAACAGTTTTTACAATGAAGTATTTGAATATATTTTTATAATATTTATTAAACTACGGTTAAGACTCCTTATACTCTAATTTCTATAGACTATTTAGAAAATTAAATTAATGTGAAAGTAACAAATTACATGAAAATCAATAATTAGTAGTTTAAACAATTCAATTTGATTCTCTACCAAAATAATTGCATTTTCTTAAATATTATTGTTTCAGACTTTTGTAATGTATTTTAAAATACCGCTGTAGAGAAAATTTCCACTTTATTTTTATTTCCTATTCCGCTGAACCTATCTAAGTAAATTATTAAATGTCAAGCTATCTTCCGGAGGCTTTGAAGTTCTATTAGTGTATTAGCTTTTGGTATAAACCCCTTTGCCCCTTGCGAATGTGGCTTCATAATTTAATAAAGCAATATTCTGTCAGCTAGTAATTTTTTTGAAGTACACCTACAAACCAAATTAACTTCCAAGCTGCAGCTTTCATGTTCTGTACATTAACGTAACTATTGTGTAATTGGCTTTGTGCCGGAAAGAGATATATGAACATTTTAATCTTTGTAACTGTTCCAATTGTACACGAGATTGCAAAAGAGTAGAAAATTTCACATAAATCGAGAAGCAGGGAAATTACGTTTGTTTCAGTTAATGCAAAATCTAGTGAATATTCCTTTTATCATTTGTTGACCTAGATAGTTGATGCGAATTTATCTCATGGTATGTGTTGGGGAATCTAGGAGTGTAGTCGGCATACCTTTACTTGTTCCAAGTGTAATATATAGAATTTAAGATGTGCTGTTAGGTAGTTTCTGTTACGTACTTATAATACACGCAAAATGCAGAAATATTAACATAATTTCAAAAGGAAGTTGTATTTATAATAATAATAATAATGATAATGATAATGATAATGATAATGATAATGATAATGATAATGATAATGATAATGATAATGATAAT